AGGGGGTGGGGGCGGGGCTGTGGCGCTGACGGGCTTTGTCTGGGACAGCAGAGAACCAGTGCGCCGTCCCGGCCAAGGACAGGGTGGACTGCGGCTACCCCGAGGTCACCCAGGAGCAGTGCAACAGCAGAGGCTGCTGCTTCGACTCCAGCATCCCCCAGGTGCCCTGGTGCTTCAAGCCGCTGCAGGAGACAGGTGAGCCGGCTGCACGGCGGAGTCCGTCTGGGCCTGCGCCGGGCCCCGGGCCCCGGTCCCCGGGGAGACACGCACGCCTGGGCCCTCGGAGAGACGCTCAGCGCCGTAGCTGTCCGTCGGCGGAGGCCTCAGCCAGAGGCTTTATGCCAGGGCGGTCAGCGGCCGGTGGCTGTCCCCTGCTATCCTGTTGATGAACAGTTTGTGCAGAATATGAAAGCAACAGTTTCACAAAAAGGTGTTCAAAGTCGAGAGCTAGTTTAGAAACGATCCTGGAGAGAAATGGAAGATGCACGGGTTTGGAGAGCTGGGCTTAGCTTTCCAGGCGGTATTCAGCAAACAAGCCACCGTCATGTGTAACCTGCAGATGGCGGACGGGGGACAGCACCGTGCCTGGAGCCCCCCGTCTCCCCCCACGCTGCCTCACCACAAGTGTGCCCCTCTCCCTCCATCCCTGGGGGTGCAGTGGGGTGTGGGGGGCTGCAGGACAGCCACTCTGGGGAAGCGAGTTAGCAGCAGAGGGCACGCACACAGGTGGCTCCATCAGCCCCGCCCCACGCATCCTGGGCATCGAGGTCCCTGTAAGCCATCTGGCAGCCAAGTGCCAGCTCACCGTCTAAGGACAGAGCTACCGAGGCACCTTCCTGGAGCCAGAACCCAAGAAGCCACTCTCGCCCATTGTCCGGGGTCGTGAAGGGGGGCTGCATTCCAGCTGGGCAGTGCTGGGGCCCCGCCCACTGCCCAGGGCCCCCTCCCCCTTCCTAGCAGACCCGGGCAGAGTCCAGATGAGGCTTTGGGACCCTGAGTGCTGCCTATTGCCCCTTTGCTGGATGTCCCTGTCCTACCTGCTCCCCAGCCTGGGCGACACCTTTTTCTCTGAGCACTGGATGGCCCTGCCGAGGCCCATCTCATTCATCATCTGTCCTGACTCCCTGGGGCCTGCTGGGGCATGTTGCCATCCTCCCACAGGCCGCGGGACTCAACACTCCGCCAGGGACTCGGGGGAGAAGGTAGCATAAGGTGTTGACCTTGGAGCCTGTCTCGACCTTGAGAAGCCAGGCCGCTGATGGGTAGAGTCGAGCAAGACCTACTCATGGTGATGCATCCTGTGCTCTGTTTCCAGAATGTACATTCTGAAGCCAGCCTGAGGCCGCCGGGCACCCTGGGAGGTGAACTTCCATACTCGGGGGCACGCCGCCCACTCAACTGTGCCTCCCCATCGCCCCGCCCCCGGCAAGGCTGCCGCGGGAGGCCGGTGCCTGGGGCCCGATTCTTAACGAATAAAGATCCGTACTGAGCATGAGGCCAGGTCTTCATTCCCCGACTCTGCCTTGTTTGTTGTATTTCTGCCGCGTTGCCCTCGGTCCCTCCCTCCTCGGCATCTCACAGACGGGGGACAGCGGGGCGTGTCATGGCATCTTGGGGCAGAGGGTCTGTACCAGCCTCAGGGGTGGGGAAAATCACTCCTAAGGAGCCACGTCGCTTGTGAGGATGTTGTCAATCCCAGACCCAGAGGTGACATGACAAGGAGGGCCAGTGACCTTCCAAGTGGTCTCGTCCTCCTGTGAGGTGAGAAGACATTTCAAGTGTAAGTTTCAAAGAAATTAACGTCTTAATCGCGAAAGCCAACACCGCACCTTAGACGCTGGCACCCTGTCGCATTTATTTGCAAGTCAAGCTGGACACGTTTCGCCGTGGGGGGCCCTGGCCCTTTCTGCCTTTTTTTTTTCCTTCTGAAAATGGACGAAGCTCTGGGAATAAACACTGTGTCCCTGCAAGGATTTTGTCCCAAGCTCTCATGAAGTCTTATGAAGCCCTCCGTGAGCGCTGTCCCCCTGCCCCACGGGGACAGGTAGCTCCACGGATCCAGGGGGGTTTCCGGGGTCAGAGCTAGGGGTGCCCAGATCGGTTTCGCACGTCCGCTCTGTCCCGTGCGGTTTCTGCCGGGGGCCCCTCTAGGGACGTGGGGACACTGCTCGCTCATTCTCGCTGCCCAGGAGGGGCTCTTGCTGGGAGGTCCATCTCGCTGGAGAAGGGGCACTGGCTCCCTTAGAAACAACTGCCTTTGTTTTGGGGCTTGCCCGTGGGGCCAGGTCCCTAGAGATATTTCTACCTTTGTCTTGCAGACAAGGAACCTCCCACTAGCCCCCTCTGAGAGGACCTTGTCAGGGCGTCCTAAGCCCGGTGTGTCCCTTTGAACACCCAGCAGCCGCACCTCCCAGGCCTTGGGGCCGGGCCTGTCCAGGGCCATCTCGGACTAAGGAGCACAGAGGGAGCAGCGTCCTCGCTCAGGACTGTGGTGGGACCCGAGCGGGTCTCACTCGGGGGGCTCTGCAGTCCGGCCTCTGGCCGTCTCTTCCAACAGACCACACCGGGCTGAGGCCAGGCCTGTGCTTTGCTGGAGGGGTTTAGGGGTCACCCCAGGCCCTGGGTGTCCGCCTCAGGTCGGGCCACCAGTTGCTGCTTGGACCTCGCCCGCGAGCCTGGCTCTGGTGACCGGCATTGTTCCATCTCGGGGGGGGCGGGGTGCTCCGCTGCCTCCTGGCCACCCCACCCCCCACCTGTGCTTCTGCCTACCTCACCTACCTCTGCCATCCCTGAGCCCTGCCCTTTCTGCTCTGACACGTCCTGCCGCCATGTCCCCACCCTCCCCTGGACTGCCGGGCATCCGTCACCCTGTCCAAGAGGGACGGGTCCCGCTCCGGAATCTGCACCTGGGGGCCCACCACCCTCACCCAGCTCCCGGGCCCTGCCTGTCCTTTCCTTAGCTACGACCATGCTCCGGCATGTTCTGGACAGCTCGCCCCTTACTCTTGCTGCCCCGTGTGCGGTGCTTGGGCTTGTCACCATCCAGGGGAAAGTATGACTCTGGGAGATGTGTCACGCGCGGTTCGGTCGGAAGAACGCGACTCCCTTTGACGTGACACGTCGGTCTCCACGTGCCGGTCCCCACGCCTGGGCTGGGTCTGGCAGCTGCACCCTCTCCAGCCTGTCCTTTCTGTCTGACGATCCTGAGACATCTCTGTTCTTGGTGGCACCTCCAACCCACTGCGCTTGTCCAAAGACGTGTAAACAGCACCTGGGGATGGCAGTGCCATCTCGCCCCGACGGGCCTCAGTGCTGACCGCTGGCGCAGACCGTGGAAGGCTGCTGAGGTTCACCGCCCGCGGCCGAGGCGTCGCCGCCCCCGTGTGCTGGGCGCCTCAGGGCGTGCTCTGGAGGTTAAGTCACTGCTGGATTTCCGTGCCGGGGGCTGCTGGCACCCTCAGACGAGGCTCCCTCCCCGTCCCCCAGAAGGATGTGGGCATTTGCTCCCCACGCTGGCTGCACAGCCTTGCTGGTGAAGAGAGAGCTAAGGCCTGAGCCGGTGACAAGGGACAATCCTCTACCTTAGTGGCAGAGGGCCTGCCCTTCTTGGCTGGTCCCCAAGGCCCAGGTGAGCTGCTGTCACCCCTCTCAGATGCTGCTGTCACCATCGCCCCGGCACTCAATGGCCAAAGCAGAGCCACTGCTTCTTCATCAAGGCCACCGGCAGCTCCAAGGGGGACGGTCCTGGCCCCTTCCTCACCCCCAGGTGGTGCTACTTTCCACGGTTGGCCGCTCTGGACCCGGCTTGCTGGTGCTTCCCTAGGGACCCAGAGGAGGAAGCCGCCTGCCCCCTGCCCAGCGGGAGCGTCCGCAGGTGGGCGTGGCAAGGTGGGGCCTTCGTCTTCTGTCCCGAGCCCCAACGTCTCTCCGTGGGGACAGGGAGTGGGGGCCTTGTGCAAGTCAGGCCCTGGCTGGCTGCCCCTCGCGTCTGCCCCTGGGCAGCACCGACGCCGGCCCCTCCCCAAAGCCCACGCTTCAGGTCCGGGCAGCGGACCGACCGTGGCTGTTGGAATCCCAGAGTTCGGGGATCTAATCCTACAGATCAGGGGCTGTTGGGCGGGGCCCCGCACGTCCAGCTGGGCCGAGAGGGGGGGCACCCCTCTGTGAGGGCAGACGCCGACAACGGACATGGATGCCGGGGGGACAGGTGTGCCAGGCTGGGGTGCCAAGGCCAACCAGATAGGCCCACCACCCTCACCCAGCTCCCGGGCCCCGCCTGTCCTTTCCTTAGCTACGACCATGCTGGGCCGAGAGGCGGGCGCACCCCTCTGTGAGGCAGACGCCGACAACGGACGTGGATGCCGGGGGGAAAGGTGTGCCAGGCTGGGGTGCCAAGGCCAACCAGATCAAGACGGTTACTCCCCAGGCTGCATTCCAAACGAGGTGAACAAGCAACACCTGTGGCTCGCTTGTCCCCACGAGGCCTCTGTGCTGATAATCACCGATGTTGGGGGACCGTACCAGGCCCCTTCTAAAAACGTTACACTAAAATGTCACTTATCTTGATTACTGGGTTTGGGGCATCCCTTCGGCTTCGTGCCTCACCCCAGCCCAGGGGAGGTCGGGGTCACTGTCATAAGTGAGCTCCCAGAGTGCCAGCAGCGGGCCAGGCCGCTGACCACTGACCACGACACAGCAGGACACACGTGAGCTCTGGGCACGGCCCCACCTGGCCTGAGCATGGAGTGACAGGAGCCCCCTCTGCTGGCTGGCGGGAGCGACTCTTCCCTCCAGGTTTCTGTGATGCCCAACGCCCAAGTTCCTGGCCTCCTGACAGCCTCCAGCCCCGACAAAGCCCCATTTTCTCAAACCCCCCCAAACTCACGGGACACAAGCCCCAGCCCCACAATAAGAGGTCCTTTCTCGCACTTACCGAGATGGCCCACGATGCGCCTGATCCTCGCTGCCACACGTCCCGTGAAGCTTGACCCTACGTATGCTCCTGGGAGTCTCGGCAAGACACAGGCTCAAGGCTCGGCGGGGGCGGGGGACTCACGGACACGTGGTCCCGCCCAGGGGATCTCAGTGGGCCAGCTCTGCCGCAGGGGGTGGCTGGAAATCTGCAGGCATGCTTCTGAGTGTCACATGAATGGGGGCGGGTGGGACGCTAGTGGCATTGAGTAGGCCCGAGACCGGAGAAGGCGGAGGCCCCGACATGCCGATGTCCCGTGGTCTTTCCAGCATCATCCTCTTGGCCCTCGGGGCAGCCTGCGACCCGTGCGTAATGATCCGGGACCAGAACCTGCTTCGGCTCCGATCTTAACACCAGCTGTTCTGTTCGATGTGCTTTGATACACCGGGATGCTCCAGGGATGCAGCATCGTGTCCTCAAGGGCAGGCTTCGCTTCGATTGGCTTGGCGCTTACGGGAGCGGTTCGCTTTACACACGTCGTCGCCTGCGACGGGCCCGCGTGCTGAGTGAGCGGAGCGTCCCGCGTGGCAGGGCCGCCCAGGTGCGCAGGTCCCAGCCCCGCCCTGCACCTGTCCTCCCCTGCCCTTGCGTGGAGTGGGGGCGCGCTGAAGCACCCCGTCTTTGCCTTCCACGGCGTTTTCCTCTCACGAGTCATCTTTTATGGGGGATGATGCAGATGCATTTCTCAAAACTGTGTGTGTGTGTCCGTAGATGAAGTGTAAGTTTCATTTCAGGACAGCAAACAGGGGCTTATGAGACATGGGGCGTAAAGAAGGGGCTTCCGCTTGCATGGCGCACCCCCTGCCCCGTCATTAGCGGGGCGGTTCGGGGGGAGACCACAGCCCGTCTTTCCCCATCTTTCCCATCTTAAACCTGGACCATCGCTTTCGAACTTGAAGACCCCAAACGCTGATAGATGCGCTCTCTACTTGTCCTAGGACCACCTCCCTGAAGCCCCTTCTTCCCCCGCCTGATGGGGGAGGGTCTGCAGACACCTCCCATCACCCTGCACCTGTACTTCCTATCCAGGGGCCCCCTCCCTTTTTCCAAGGCAACCCATTTCTCCCTAATATTCCTGCACGTGTCAGGCCCACCGGGTAAAACTGGGGTGGATGGAAGGGCTCGCCACCCCCATTGGGGCTCCCTGTGATTCTCCTGAGACCCTCCCTGTGCACCCCGCACCCCCAGTGGCTCCCAGCAGCTCTCAGAATAGAGGCGGGGGCTCTCTGGCAGGGGGAGCCCGCTGGGGGCCCCAGGTGGCTGCAGTGTGTGCGTCAGGAAGAAGCGATGGCTGTGGCTGCTGCGTCCCCTCCAGAGAGGGCCGGAAGCACTCCCACTGAACCCCCAGGTTCCAGAAGGGTCTCGCATGTTCTGGAACCCCGCACAGGGGAGCTGGAGGGAGTGGGCATGTGGAACGCCGTCTGCGGGAGACTCACAGAGCTCTGCAGCATCCACCAAGAAGGGGC